ACTTTTGTTATTGTGGCCTAAATTTTCTTTTGGAATTAATGCTACATCTTGTGGAGCTCTCATTTCTCGGCCGAAAAGCATAACATATGGGGATTTTTGAGTTGATGAATTTGGGGCCATCCGATAGGCCATCATGATGCCAGGAATAAAACGGGGCCAATCATTTTGAGACTTGTTACAGTAGGCTCTTAGTGATTGATTGATATAAGAGTTGAGCCTTTCTACACAGCTGTTAGTTTGAGGATGGTATGGGCTGGTATGAGTAAACTTAATTGCCAAAAGTTCACAAATTGCTTTGATAAGTTTGGACATGAAGTTCTGACCTCTGTCTGAAATTAAGGTCCTTGGAGCGCCATACCGACAAAATATTTCTCTGACGAGAACATCTGCTACTTCTTTGGCTTCTTGGGTCTGAAGTGGAAAGGCTTCACACCATCTAGATGATGCATCTGTGATGACCAAAATGTATTTGTACTTATCTGGTGTTGTTGGCAGGGGACCGAGAATGTCAATGTGCCATCGGGTGAAGACCTCTTCTACAGGTAGTGGATGAAGTGGTGCCTTCTTGCCATGGTAGTGCCTCTTGGTCTGTTGACATACCTCACATGTCTGGACATAAGTAGCAATATCGCTGTACATTTTGGGCCAGTAGTACTTAGGTCTCATGGTGTTGTGCATCCTTTCTTTCCCATGGTGGCAACCGCCAAACTCTGAGTCATGATAGGATTGCAGGACTTGATTTCTGAGGGTTCTTGGGACTGCCAGCTGTTTAATGAACTTGTCTGCATGGCCTTTCTGTCTTTGTGGAACGAATCGGTATAGGATGCCTTCATCAATTTCAAAAGTATTGGCTTCAATAAGAATCTTTTGACGATCCTTTTCATTTTGTGGAAGGACTTCATCCTCTTTGTAGTCAAAGATTTGGATGAAATCTGGACAAATCCTTTGTAGGTGACGTAAATTTGGATGTTCTTTTATACTTACTTCAACCAATGTGTCTTGGGTAACATCAGCATTTGTAGCATGAAAGGCTGCAACAACATTAACTGGTACTGACTGATAATCCTCTTCATATTCAAAGGTGACTGACCAATGTGTTGTTTGTGTGTCTGATTCTAAGTGATTGACAATAGGTGTGCAAATATCCTCAGTCTGAGTTGTCTGTGTGACTTGTGTGGATGAATGGGTGTTTGGCAAGATTGTGGTACTGCTAGTTGATTTGCTTTGCTGAGTTGAAGTTATTGAGAAGACTGTTTTCTCAGCATCTTCTTCTGTCTGATCATTACAGTTAATATTTTCCTCATATTCCCTACGTGAGAGAGCATCGGCATTCCCATTGGCTTTGCCGCTGCGGTGAACAATGTCAAAAGTGTAGGTAGAAAGTTCCAAAGACCATCGTCCTAACCTACCTGTGGCATCCTTGATGGATTTCAGCCACTTCAATGCTATATGATCAGTGTAGACTGTGAATTTGGAATTTGCAAGGTATGGACGAAAGGATCTAATGGCTTCAACTAGAGCTAAGCCTTCCTTTTCTGTAATGCTCCAGTTCTTTTCGCTGCCATGAAGAGCTCTACCACCAAAAGCTATTGGATGTTCATTATTTTTCTCGTCTTTTTGACTCAAAACAAAACCTATGCTCATATCACTGGCATCAGTTGCAAGAAGAAATTCTTTGTCAAAATTTGGATACGCCAGAACAGGTGTATTACTCATAGCATGTTTGAGTGTGTTGAATGCCTGATCACACTCAAGTGACCATTGGAACTTTGGTTTCTTTCCTAGTTCTGCCTCCGAATGCTTCTTTAGCAAGGCATTCAGTGGAAGGGCTATGTGAGCGTAATTTTTCACATACTTCCTGTAGAAGTTTGTGAGACCTAAGAAGGAGCGAATCTGCTTTTGTGACTTGGGCACTGGAAAGGTTCTAATTGCTTCAATCTTTTTGTCATCAACTTGAACACCTCCACATGATAAAACATGACCCAGAAAAGAAACTTTGTCCATTGCAAAATTGCATTTGGATGGCTTTAGTGTTAATTTTGCCTGTTTTAGATAGTAAAATACTTGCTCCAAATGTTGGAGATGCTCTTCAAAGTTTTTGCTGTAAATTATCAAATCATCAATGTAGATCAGCGCAACCTTAAAAAGCAATTTTCGTAGCACTTTGCTCATGAGCTGTTGAAAACAAAGTGGAGAATTTGTCAAGCCTTGGGGCAATCGTTTGAATTGATAAAGGCCTTGATGGGTGACGAAAGCAGTTTTATGCTTTGAATCTTCATGTAATGGCACTTGGAAGAAGCCATTAGCAAGGTCTAAAGTTGAGAAGATCTTAGCATGTGCATTGGCGATGTTATCAACAACATCATCAAAAACAGGAAGAGGCCAAGACATTGGTAAAGTGACAGAATTCAATTTTCTGTAGTCACAAACAAATCTATATGAGCCATCGCGTTTCTTGACTAGGATAATTGGAGCTGAATACATAGAAGTAGATTCCTCGATCAAATCATACTTCAGAAAATCATCTATAAGTTCTTCAGTGACTTTTTGGAGATGAGGAGATTGACGATATGGTCTACTCTTAACGGGTGGGTGGTTGCCAGTGTCAATGATATGTTGGTGCAGGTCAGTCTTACCTAAATCTGCAAGACTTGTTGAAAACATGTTTCTATTTTGTCCCAAAAATCTAAATAGTCTGTGTCGTTGGTCTGGAGTCAGTTGTGTATTGGTCAAATCAAATCCTAACTCCTGTGCAATTTTGACATAATCCCTGGTGTCATTGTCTCTCTTCTCATTGTCGGTGTTAACGGTACTGATGAATGGTTGGTCAGAGCCGATTTCAAAAACAGAGTCTTTGTCAATGTAACTAAATTTGCCTACAACTGTACCCTTGTCAAGAACCTTTTCTTCTTGGGAGGGATTCATAAGCCTAAATGTAGCAGTCTTGCTTTTTGATTTAGAAAGAGTTCTACCGCCTGCTACTTCAGAATGAGCAGTGAGGGAAGCAATGGGTTCAATGAGGATGAGGGAATCCTCTTTGGTCTCTGATAGTCTGACCTTGAAATGAATTTCACTCTGAGGGGGGATGTAAATCTGATCTATTGTTTTTGCTAATCCACTAATCTCATGCACTGAATTGGCTATGAAATTGATATATTGCCTATCTGAGGTGCTGTTGTTGAGTATCAAGGAATGACAGCTATAATCTAAGACTGCATCATTGTCATCAAGGAAGTTCCCACCAAATTATCATGGAACTGTTCTGGGTGAACAATACCTTCCAAATGACGTGCTGGTTTTCTTGGGGAATTAGTCAGCAAAGAGCCAGAGTCACAGGAGACTAATCACAATTTTATTTACAAGAACAATTAACAATTTACAATATACTTAGATAATAACTGAGGGTGCCACAGAGAGTCGGTACACACTCTGGGCTGTGGGAGAGAGGTCTGCTTGGTAAGAGAGTCAAACCCCTTCTCTCCCTAAAACCTGCCTACAGTATGTATTTAACAAAAATTTAAACAATAAAATGGAATGTGATTGGATGATACACGATTGGTTGTGTCCTAAGCTAAATGGATGGCTAGACAGAGGGGAATACTAAATCCTGTTTATCCTGTTGGACTGGCACTAATCTTGTTGACATATTTACTGGATGCTTTGAAAGAGATTAGGGTGTCACTATAGATGAGCTTGTATGGGGGCTAATCCTTAATGCACTATAGACGAGCTTGTATGGGGGCTAATCCTTAATGAGTCTTAATTGAAGTAATGTTATTCTAATATACCCCGGTAGGTGATGACAGATATACTTAAATAAATATCCTTTGTCTGGGAGATGGGATCTTGATACCTTAGGCTAGCATTTATCTAAAAGCTTCAAATCAATTAAACTATGTAGACGTAACTCTTGTCTTATTGAATAGTATGTCTAGAAGACGCGCTCCCATTACCTTAGGCTAGCAACCATCTAAAAAAGCTTTAACTGAAACTACTGATATTTTATATATGCATTTTACCTAATGATATTTATTACTTGGTAAACTATAATTATATGAAATGATGTATAAATATTACACCATGATAACTCATAAAAGCACTTGATGTAGATCTAATTATTATAAGATAACTTAGTATAAATGTTATCCCATGATAATCTGTTAACAATGATGAATATTCACCGTAGAGAGTCTGACCAGAGGGTGGAAGGTTGGTTTTCTATCCCCTGGCCACGTCATGCTCAAAGACGTTAAAAAGATGGTACTTGTTGTTACCCTGCCTTGGGCCCAACATTAAGGGGCTAAAACAAGGACTGGTCGGCTAGGGAGTCAGTATGCTGTATCTGAGTGGAGTATTCATGGTTAAACTGCGGCATGGTATTTTAGTGATACTGGCATAAGTCTAGACCAGTACAAGCAGCCACACACACACGTGCATGGATGTTGCTGTACAAGTCAAATAAGCTTCAACGTGAAGTTAATCCCTTGACACCTCTCCTCATCATCAATTACCTTACTGTATTTTCTTGAGTATAGTGCGCACCCATGTATAATGCGCACCCCCCTCTAGCGGATTCAGTATTTTGGAGAGAAAAAATTCAAATGTCAAGCACAGAAAAAAATTACACCGTAGATCTACCCGTTCAGCGAATTCCGGTAAACAAACGGGTGATGAGAAACTTGGTCAGTACACATTCGAAATTTGAGATAAAAATCACCAGACATGTTTATTTACCGTTTAAATTGTATTTTTTGTTCTGCTAGGCATTGTTTTACATCCAGGGATTAAGATTACCTTGTGTATTTTCTCGTAACTAAGCCGGAAACAGCAATCAGCTGTACACACATTTTCTTGGAATCTTCCGGTGATACTCAAGAAAATACTGTACTCTATTTATCATAACCAGCAAGATGGCCAAAACACAGTTGTCTGTTTGAAGCAAAAAATGATTCTATTGTAGTCCTTTAAAAGATACTTCATGTCCATCTAATGTGTTTCAGATAAAAAGACATCCGATGAGAACACTGATGCATCAGTAAGTAGTATGCTAATTAATTTAAAAAATAGAAATGTGTAAAAGGAAAATGTTCTGATGATTTTAGCTCTCTTGGATAGAGATTAATAAATATCCAACAAATAGATTATTTCACATCAGTCAATTATTCCCCATACCGTATTCGACGTAATAAGCTCCCAGGGCGCTCTCAAAATTAGGAATAGGGGGCTCTTATTAGAATATTATTTTGGTGTAAAAAACAGAGTTGAAAGATAAATTTTGTGGTTTAAGCTGACAACCTGAAATGTTTATATACGACAGATATATTTTTCCAGAATTAAATTGCCCATAATTAAGGGTGCATTTAACACACGAGTGTGTATCATACGCGAATAAATAAGTCTTGTGTACATTGATCAGTTGGAAGGGGTGCTAATTGGGATTGTTCACTTGCCAATATATTAACAAATATCGCCCTGGGCGCTTATTGGAGCGGGGCGCTTATTACGTCGAATACGGTATGTTGATTTAGATATTGGTTTGAATGTGTGAAAATGTGTCTGTCCTGTTTAACATGAGTCCTCTATCCCCCAGATCGGGCCCACAAAGGCCTCAACTAGTGGAGAGGAGAAGCCAGGGGATGGTGGAAAGAAAGGTGGGTGGAAAGATGTGTTATAGTAGCTCTTACCAGGCCCCTTGGACATTGAGGGACAGTATACGTCCCCTGTATGCACGCTTGTTGTGAAATGCATCAATATTTATCAGAACAACCTCCATTTAGTTGTTGTTTTCCACATTCTGCTAACCAGGTGAGTTCAGTTATCACAGAAGCACATATCATCATCCACTGTATCACAACATTCCAGAGAAACATCATGTCTGTCTCACAACTGCCAGAGTAGGTATAGGGATGCCAGAGTAGGTATAGGAAGAGAGTTCCTCAGTACATTACTGATATATTTTGTATTTTACAGTGTCGATAAACATTATGTGCAAGTTTGAAAAAAATCCCTGCAAATCTGAAAACACATGATGTTTATCACTTAAGTTGGACCTATTTCCAACAAGTGACTTGCAGTGTTCTGCCAAGAAAGTGAATGCCTGGGGACAGACAGACCCCCTTCAACTCCAAAATATGGGGACATTTTAAAAATAATGGGGTCGCTGTCAATGACAAAGTTATTCATACTCAATGGACTCATGATATACAGATTCTTCTCATTTTTTTTTATACATAGACATACATACCAAGAGTTTGTCTTGGAATGAAATTGTAACCAAGCGAAATCTAGAGCCACCTTTGTTGGAAATTTCTGTGCTTATATTTCTCAGTGTCATGGGGTCTGATTGAGTTTTGTCCCAAGTTTAAGCAGTATCATTTGATTTAGTCTCTGAAATTCAGTTGCTATAGTTATCCGTTGTGTAACTTTTTGGATTTGTGGCTGAAGAGTCATGGTCTCTGTAAACTTTTGCCTGTTTGCCAGTAAAAAATCTTAGAAGTTTACACTGTCGTTTGCAGCCGTCTACTTTGTTGACCGTCATTCTCAGTATGGACTGTTTCCTGTCTTTTTGCGCATGTGCTGTAGGCAGCAGAACCAATGAAGTAGGGCAGAGGAAGCCACTCTCTCAGTGTACCGTCTCTTTCATTTTCATCAGCGAATGAAAACTGCCAAGATAGCGTACAACATTCAACAAAACTTATTACAGCCAATTACATTATTACCCGTTACTAACACAGACGCTTTTAAAAAAACAAAAAGGACAGGAAGTCGGCAAACTTACGTAGACAGACGCTCTTGATGACAAATCGACAAGTTTTCAAGAAATTTATGTATCATATTTGTGAGACAATAACTATATTACAGAATTTGGTTCGCCTGGTGACCCCCCGATAGTATGATGTGTCAATTCTTATTTGTTAGCGGGGATACCGGTACCGCGAGCCAGCTGCCTCGGCAGAACATTGGACTTGAAATCATGTGTATCAGTATGGCGTTGGCAACGTATAGACACTATAATGAGGTGGCTACATACCAGAAACAACTGCTTATCAGAGCAGTAAACAGTTCTGACTTGTACACAGATAAGTAAAGAAGCCAGAATGTAGTGTTCACCAGTGTTTCAAGTCATTGTGCAGTACAGGCAAAATCCTATATTTCATTGTGTTCATTGAAATTCGTGCATTCTGATTAGCTGAATTGGTCACGTGTTATTGCATTCATTTCCTAATGAATTAAAAAATTAAGCCACGCCCACTGAGGCGAACTACTTTTATTACTATGGAATGTCAGGGAATCCCAATATTACAGTCGATGGAATTCCCTTTATGCTCATGTGTATTGTCATGCACAGGACATTTAGCGAAACTCTTGCATATTCATTGTCCAAACAACCCTTTGAGACCGAAAGCAGAGAAGGAATGAAACAGCAAACGTGCATGCTCGCTCGCCTGTTTTTTCACCCTTGCCTCAGTTCCACAACTTTCATGTTTCGGGTTTCATTTCTAACCAGCATTTTTCCAACTGTGTCTTCCCGCTCTCAGAGAACTAATGTTTGAATCTGGCGGTAACTGACAATGTCATTTAAAACAGCCGCCATCTCCTGGACATATTTGTTCCGGTTCATTACAGTCTGACTGTTGCAGTTCTTTGCGCCTCTTGCCTTGATTGAAGGTCCTATGAACACTGTTTTGATTTTATTCTCCGTTGATTGGCTCCCGACTTTTTGTAGGCGTGTCAAGGTATGTGCATGAATTAAACAATCCCCTGTTGAATGTCACGCCACAGTATTGTATATCAATGGAATGTTTATCAATCTCGTCATTTTTCTCTGCTTTGATATATACAACTGCTTTTGGTTAAACTATTGTAAATAAAACATGTTTTCATTGTCGAATTTAATAACAAGCATTGACTGTGTATTTTTTGGTTCATTGAGGTATGAATCGAAAGACCGATGTGCAAACTTTTGTAAGAATCCGCTACACAGATTCATAAAGTTTGCACGGGTTTTTTTTCATACCTCAATGAACTGGAAAAAATACAATGCTTAAATATCTAAAAACAGTCACACAAGTGGTTGATAGCATAAGAAACAAGCCACAATGTTAGGATATGACACAATCAATAAGTCACATAATTGTCAACTTACTTACCAGTCTTATGACAAGCATGTTGCAGTGCAAGCCTATTCAGACTAGGAATCCCCATTTAGTCAGAAGTATACACCTCACAATGCTAAGACCTTAATTACGGCCTTACCTTCCTCATTCGCTATCTGCTGAATGATGAAACAGAGCATAGTTGGGCCCATTTTGTCCAATGTCCAAGGCCAATGGCGCCATGTCATTATGATGTTATGATATTATAGCATAATTGGTGCCAGCCTTCACACATACTCAAAATACCCAATTGTTTTGTTTTTTGCTTGTTTTGTAATGCCACACTCGGCAATATTCCATAATACCTAAAGCAAACAACAGTTGTGATTGTTGCTTTATATTCACTAATAGTAGCAACATCTGTCCTGTTATTGGTGATCTGGTTGACATGGAGACAGGTTGCTGTAGATCACAGTCCACCTACATTCCTGCTCATCAATATATGCTGATGTAGACCCTGCAGCAGGTTGACTGTGGTGTAGAGGCCTAGAGGTAGTCTAGTGGTGAGAGTTTGCCTGTCCTCGTGGCCTCCACCAAAGTGGTTATTGTTGGAGGCATGCATCACTTTGGGCTTTCTGCCCACTGACAAGCTGTGATTTCACTGGAATACTGTTAAACGTGGTGTTAGTACCAAACTCACTCACTCAACCAGTTTTCCCATCCATCCTGAAGACATGGGTTCAATTACCAATATCGGTACAATATTTAGGCCCATTCTTACATTGGGATCTATTTGTAATAGTTCCCCAACAATTGGATTGGGTGTCATTGCGCCTCTGTTGGATGTTGCTCATAGTATCAATCACTGGTTTGTCTGAGATGGTTGTTTTCTCAGACACAGGCTACACACCTGATATGCCTCCGATATACCCCTTGGGAATTGTTCTAAAACATGATTGAATGACCTTGGTCAAGGTCACTCAGTATGAACTAGGCGTAAAAAAAGCTTGTGTATACGATAACTCGTATTTAAGAATGGAATTTGATAAGCTGGCTATATTCAGTATGCTGTCTAGCCGGTCACCTCTGTATATTTTTAGATTCATGGACATGCTAGGAATATAGATACCTGGTAGCTGTGATAAATAGTCTCATACATAATGGTGAATGTGGTCTGAATAATACAGCAATGTATAGTTTACAAGGTAACTGCCTGAGTGTATATCATCAGTATATTGTGATGCTATCCGACAGAAACTAAGAACAGTATGATCGATGTAAACTGTGGACCATGTCACAGATGTAGAACCAGCCGATGCATCAATACCTCTCTCTATGGTTACAGCCCCCCCCCCCCCCCCAGTTGTCCCCCTTGCAGAGGTAGAAACTAACATTTTTAGTCCACTAGTCCTGATAATGATAACATTGCAACACCCTCAAAAATGGCAAATGTCTACTACTAGTACTAGCCTTTATGAGACCTTAACTGTTAGGCAGTTTGGCAAGGACTACAGGACTAGTGCCAATTTCTAACTCTGCTTTGTAGTGTTAATGTTTTCTATGGGCAATGTGAACCTTGGCATTTGGACATCTAAAGGTCCTGTTGTGTTTTGTGGGCTGTAGCTTGGTTTATAGGCACATTTGTTACCCAAGGTAATGTTTAACCTGGTGTTTAATGTGACCCGGAGTCAGTTTTGAGGGTAAATATTTTGACATGATTACAAGACAAATCGAATATCATGCAATCTGTGATTACATGTTACCGTCACCTACAAATCCAATAACTGTTCAAACAACTGACTCAAGGCAGACCATTGCAAGATGACAGAGGAGAGGAGATTTGTCATGGTATTTGCTGCAAGCTTCAACTGCTGCCCTTCACAGAGAACCTTCTTGTGTGGGTGCAGGACAGGAGCAGATTCTGGTGGAATTGTATCAAATTTGGGGTGGCCTAGTGGTTAAAGCATTCGATTGTCACGCCGAAGACTCGGTTCAATTCCCCACATGGATACAATTTGTGAAACCCATTTCTGGTGTCCGCTGCCATGATATTGCTGGAATATTTCTCAAAGCGGTGTGAAACCATACACACTCAAATATTCAAACATTAAACGTTGTTCAGGGAAAAGAAAATTTTCAAATGTCAATGAGACTGCAGCAGTGAGACCTTGTCTGTCCGCAGAGCACAAAGTAGCAGTTGCCTTATATGTTCTAGCATCTCATGCAGAATATTGATCAGTATTATTTGAAACATGACCTTTTTCACTTAAATTGTCCCATGGGTTAAATCCAGCCCGGGGTTATGTCAGTTTGACCCACCTCAAAACTTGGGCTACATTTGACAATATTTAACCCCAGGGTGTCAAATATAACCTAGGGGTGAAAAAAACAAAACAGGATCAAACCATTGCATATAAACCAGACTTAGGTTGTATTGGGCAACTGTCTTCTCCCCAGTTGTTGGCTGCCATTTCCAGAATTTTGTGATGTAGGATATGTGACAGATGTTTTATCTTATACTTATAGGTGACCGCAGGTTCTTTAATAGATCAATA